ATTGTTTTTTACAACTGCTCCAACCTGATGAACCTCTTCCTGTCACTGTCATTCCTAATGAATACTATATAAATGATAGAAGTGGAAGAATATTGTTAAAAAACACAATATCTAATGGTTTACTTCAGAATGCTGTAGATCATGGACCATCAAATGCTCTTCAAGGACCACAGGGATTCTGTGATGCAGACATGGTGTCAGCTTTTCCTTGTAAATCATGGCCTCAGTCATCATCTGGTTGGTTAGAGAGACAAGGTATTGACAGATGGCCAACACAAGACATGAGAAGATATGCAGCCAGTACTAGGTGTTTTGTTGTTTCAACAGGAAGTAAGGTCAGTGAATATCCTGAATTGGAATGGAGAATATCTACATCATTGGCAGAAAGATAACTTATGTCCAATCTAAATATAACACAAATAAGGTGCTATGTATTATTGAAAATGATTCGTAAATTCTTCATTAATCCTCAAAGGGAAATAAACATATCAAGTTTCATGTGTAAAACCGTTCTATTACACTGTATAGAAAACACAGAGTCAAGTATATGGAAAGAGAACAATTTATTTATATGCTTAACATACTGCCTATTAGAATTACACAGTTGTGTACAGAATGACCATTGTTCTCATTTCATTATCCAAGAAAATAATTTGATGGCAGGGCAATTTACAGCTGAAAAAAAAAGTGAACTTTCAAAAAATGTGAGTGATTTTTTACAGAATGACAGACAAATGTTATTTAGAATTGATATTGATGATCTTGGCTATAGATTGCAAGTTAAACTGAACATGGTACCACACAGAGCATATTATTATCAATCTTCTCTTGCGATACATATGACCTCAGAATATTTCAACACAGCACTCTTTGTAAGCGGAACTCATAAACTTGTTTTAGAACATTTACACACAAAAAACGTTACAACAATGAAGCATTGTATAGGTAAACTAAATACTTTCAATGTTAATGGTAATAGATTAGAACAGGCTGCATTCAAGTTTCTAGCACCTTTTCTTTTTACCACATATGGATCTATTCTGGCATCATTCAGCATTGGTGAAAATAATCAAGTGTCACCTCAAGCATTGGTTTGGTTATCAGCTGGTTTAAACTCAGATATCTCATCTAGCCAACTTAAATTGGCTTCAGTGTTCTACAGTACAGGAGATATGGAGAAAGCTGAACTAATTCTAAGAAACACTGAACAACAATATTACTCTTATCCTGTTGTACCTTTCTGCAGCTGCTGTGAGAAGCGTTCACCAGCAGTAACAGCAGAATTTGAGAGGGTATGTAGTGAACAAAATGAGGACTGTATCAAACATGTAATAGCATTTTGTGTCAGATTCATACAGAAAGAGATCAACTGTGTTCCTCATGAACTACAATATGAAATGTTCAGATCTACACAAGATGACATGATACACAGAAATCAGTATAAAGACTATTGGATGGACTGGGCTGTAGTTGATTCTCTACCTTTCCTATACTTCCTACAATACAAGATCTACCGTCATCTACAAAGACATCAAGATCAACAACAAGCACTTAGTAAACTTATAAGAACTATAGTAACTGATAAAAACCTTGGACATAGAGAAACAGCTCTCAACATTTTAGGACAATGTATGGAACAAGAAAACAGACCTCAACAGGCATTAAATTATTACCTGCTTTCTCTTCAACAAAGGCAAAGAAACAATGTAGCAATCATACATATATGTAAGCTCTTTTCTGGCTTATTGGCAGCACAATAATAAGGGGTCAAAATACAGTGACAGTATTACAGCTGAAGTTTTCAATGATTATATACTGATTGTGTGTATCAAACTGACTCAGATGTTAAAATATATATGAGCCGTGTCATGACAAAGCCAACATAATGGGTTTGCGACCTGCATGGATCCAGACCAGCCTGCGCATCCGCGCAGTCTGATCAGGATCCATGCTGTTCGCTTACCAACTCTATAACAAGTAGAGAAACTGATAGCGAACAGCATGGATCCTGATCAGACTGCGCGGATGCGCAGGCTGGTCTGGATCCATGCTGGTCGCAAACCCATTATGTTGGTTTTGTCATGACACGGCTCATAATTATATGCCTTTCATCATTCTTTCTGTTACATTTTAGTCTCAAATAAAATAATCAGAGTGAATTAGCAACTAAAATGTGATATGATTTTGTATATATAATCTTATACTGTTATAAAATATGGAATAAACAAAAATAACTAGAACTCCGAAAAATTAACAAGGGCAATAACTCTAAAATCATGGAGTACAGAGTAACAGTTTTTATGCACTGCACTTAATCTCAATGACATCCATCCTCCTATGAAGTTTCATGTCCATAGTTTTTATAGTGTAGGAGAAATGGCCCTGACAAAAATGAAATATGAAAATTAAGAAAGGGCAATAACTCAAAAAATAAGAAGTGCAGAGTACCAGTTCTTAAGCACTGCATTTCCTCTTAATGAGATCTATCATCCTATGAAGTTTCAAGTCAATAGTTTTTATAGTGTAGGAGAAATGGCCCTGACAAAAATGAAATATGAAAATTAACAAAGGGCAATAACTCAAAAAATAAGAAGTGCAGAGTACCGGTTCTTAAGCACTGCATTTCCTCTTGATAAGATCTATCATCCTATGAAGTTTCAAGTCCACAGTTTATAGTTTAGGAGAAATGGCCCGAACAAAAATAAAGTATGAAAATTAACAAAAGGGCAATTACTCAACAAGAGCCACCGCCAGGCTGGGGCAACGGTCGACTTTTTTACTTTTTCAAAAAGCAAACAAAGAAACGTTTGAACAAATCTTAACGTTTCCTTTTTAAAAATTTAGTGGGTCTGTCTTGTCTAGTTTTGTCAAAGTATGAATCCTTTCAATATATATCCCCATGTGTATTACAGAAGAAGATATATATATATATATATACGCATTTATATATCATACGCATTTAAATATATATATATATATACACGTATATATATACGCATTTATATATATATACATACACATCAATAAATATGACCTATACTGTGTCGATGTGACGTAAAACCCAAAACAAACCAAAACAAAATATATATATATATAAAAGCATATGTATATACCGGTAGTATAGTATACAAATATATATGAACTACCGGGTAAGTAAACCCTCTGGTTGGGGCAAATTTTTTTAACAGACCACAAGATGGTGCTACAGGCCAAATATCTAAGTGCTTGGTATAATATTTGCAGAGAAGATTTTTAACTTGTGTTTACTATATAAGTCTATGTTAACCAAGTGATCCCCAGGGCGGGGACATTTTTTGACACCCGAGGGTCACAACTTGTATAACCTTTGTAGGATTCCTCTAGGCAATAGTTTAGCCCATATACCTAAGCTCTGAATATTGTAGTTTCTCAAAAGAAGACTTATGCATTTTCTTTTATAGATAACGTGTATAAACTAAGAAACCTTTGGGCGGGGTGATTTTCAGGGGTCTAATTTATTCAACTTTATAAAGAGGACCACAAGGCAATGCTTCTTGCAAAATATCTAAGCTCTGGGCTTTGTAATTTCTGAGGAGAAGTTTTTTTAAATATTTCATTTCTTTTAAAGTGTATTTTTAACTCCTGTGAGCTTCTTATGTATGCATCAGACTGGAACCATCTATTTCAGTGAAGTTTGGTCAAAATCCACCATGTAGTTTAGCTTGGAAATGTTGTTTAAAGGTATTGTGGACACAGGTGGAGGATGGACAGCTTGCCATCCTAAAAGCTCACCTCTGAACACAATTAGATGAGCTAATAAAAAAACAAGAACTAAAATTATTCATTTAGATACAATTTTACTGATACAATGTATTGTAACACTTATAGTTCCTGCAAAACCTCAAATAGTATGTTATCAATAAATATCAATCAAATCTTGTACAATTTTCTCACACTCAAAATTCCAAAAGATGGGTTTGTAAATAATATGACTGGTGTTTTTTTTAACAAATATTGCCCTGCTCAAATTTTGGAAATTTGATTTTGAAGATCTAAGTCATTCAAAGGTCAAGGTCATATCTGAACGGTAAAGTTCGTCTCCTGGAGTATCTTATGTATGAAGTCTCTTACAGGACAAAGATGCTATGGCAATGATTACAGTTGTCCACAGAAACAGGAGTGTGTGTGTGTGGGGGGGGGGGGGGGTAGATCAAAGCATGGCATATTAATCATAGCTTAATTAATCCACAAAAAACTACAGCTCAACAATTGTAAGCATAATGTCATTCTGATATTCAGATAGTATCATGATAAACAGTAAATTAAACATCTCCTATAAAGATACTTGATAATGTACTTGATATATTATCAAGTCTAGTCACATGACCCAATGCATCAATTTTATCAAAGTACAAAGTAACATGCATAATCTTACTTCTGATTGTTCACATTCTAAATTAAATTTTCATTAGCCTATACCTTGTATGTTTTTTGAGTTATTTCAGGTTATCTCTTTCAATGTAACAACCAGACTTGTGATCAGAGGGGAAACAACAACATGTGCATAACATTCATTTTACCATCTAGCACATTTCATTGATTGATATGGGTTTAATGTTATTTCATTGATTGATTAAAGTCTATATTGTAATAGTCATGTACTTCATTGAAGGTTATTCATTAGTTGACTAGATTATGTACTCAGAGATTAGGAAAACCTGAGGCATATCCAGTGAAAGTTTCTGTTAATTCTGACATTAGTTAGTACTTCATGAATGATACTGGATCAAGAAGGACAGATGAGCTTGGACACCTGGGGGCAAATCTACAGTCCTTTCTGTAGATGACATTTTATTGTACTTGGATAAAAATAAACTTCAATTTTATTTTACCAATTGATATCATTTTACCCATATATCACATTTTTTCCATTTTTATTACATCTTTTCAAAACACATTGTAAAAGTGATACATGTAAATTGTATATGTTAATAATTGTGGATCTTGAAGTAAACAAAAGCTAACATGGAATATTTGTTTAATGTCAACAGAAATCAATAGAATGCAAAAAAAGCAACAAAAAAATCTTGTATCATTTTTCTTTGGGTAACTTCAAAGAGAATATTCTTTGATATTATGTCACTGTGAAGAAAATATTCCTGATATTGTAGTAAAATTCTCTTTAGTGCTCATTAAAAGATAAATATACATGAAATTTGATCGTATAATTGCAAATCGTACATGATTACAGAAGCACCAACTTTTTACTTTAATTATTAAACAAACATTAAACATGGTAACTTTGAATTATTTAAAATACATGTACATGTGTTTCAAAATTGACAAAGCTATCCTGTAGAACTAAATAATTTCAAAGAAAATTTGCATTTAAAGGGGCATAACTCTATCAATAATGAGTTATGCATAATTATATCAAAATCAATCCATGAATGACTTGAAACAGACACAACTACCTTTCTAGCACATTTATGCCAAGTTATTTTAAAATCCATCCAAGAATGACAGATTTGTTGACAGGACATGACCATCAATTCACTTTCAGTATAAGTGTGACATTGACCAAAGACCTACAACCTACAAACACTTGCATGCTGCAAATCATCTCAATGTACTTCACATTAATGCAAATTATTTCAAAGTATTCACATTTATGCAAATTATTTCAAAGTACTTCACATTTATGCAAAATTATTTCAAAGTCCATCTGTAAATAGCAAAGCTATGCCCTTGACAAAAAGTGGACAGACAGATGAACAGACAATTCAAAAACCATGTGTCACCCTTCAAGGGCATAAAAATAACCTAAGGTTTCTTAGAAAATTCACAATTTCACAATAATGAAATGTATAAAATTTATCTGCACACAAATTGTCCATTCTAAACAAAATTCCATTAGGTAGCTATTTTGCTTTCTGCAAACAATTTACTTAGTTCTTTCATCACATCTCCATGTTTAAGGTCTTGATTCATTCTCTTCACAGAGTTATAATTATCCTTAACAAACAACGCAAACTTGTTGGGCGGTCTTGGAGTTGAAGAGGTGGTGGAGCTAGCAGCAGAGGTGGGCGTGGTTGGTACAGAATTGTGAATAAGTTCAAACTCCCCTCGACAGTACCCACAAACCTTCTTCTTAACATCCAATGACTTTGAATGTCTTCCAATACTGAAATCATAACAGTTATTCTATACAGTATTGTTCTGTAAAGCTATAAGAATATACAAGTAGTACCAATATAATCTCCGCACAAGAGCCCTCTGTTGAGCAATCACCCCTTTACAACAACACATCACCTTAGTGCAATAACTGGTTAACTCCTATTTGGGATAGTAGGACTTATCCCATTACTGTACTAAGGTGACGAGTTAACTGTATTATTTTTTCCCCAAAAGTAAACCTTAATGAGTAAAACAACATCACTCTAAAGCAACAAAAACCTATACTCCCCAATTGGTGTGGCTCTTAATGGAGGTTGTACTGTAAAAGTGCATAATTACTGATTTTTTGAAAATGGACCGTTATAAATAAATGTGTAGTTTACAGTCAATAACTGTGGATATTTTCAAACACATGTGCCAACCAAGCACTTTTTTTAAAAGACTAGTTAGAAATTAAGAACTATTCACTTCAAATGGACAAGATTTGAAAATCTACAATTTAAGCACTATGATAAGACTGCAATCAGAAAAGCATGGTTTTAACCTTTATCACACAAAATATGTTAAATGGGCTTGGTCACCTTACAATCTGGACAAAACCATTCCTCATTATTTGGGAAAATTTTAAATAAGTACTGACTGAATATAGGGTTAACGCACGTTTTTCCGTGTTATAACGTCTGCAGAGTCCCGAGGAACGGTTGGTGCCCGAGCCCGGTAGGGCGAGGGCTCCAACAGTTCCGAGGGACTCTGCAGACTTTATAACACGAAATAAACGTGCGTTGACGCTATTATAGCATAAAATTTTAAAACAGATTCATGATGTATATTATATATAAAACACAAACATTAAATCCTTGTGCTTGAACGGTATTTATCCAACTCTACATGTTTTACGTATGCGTTTTATTTTTTCCGGGGCCAACAACTTGAGAACCGAACAAAATTTCGAATTTTAATTGATTTAAACAAAGTTTAACTTTGGAGATATATTAACTTAAGAAAAACATAACATTACTCTACCCTAGACAAAACAGACGCCTCAGAAATTCCTAGAATGACTAAAGATTGGCGGTAGGAAAAAGATCAGTGACATCAGATTCAAATTCAGAATCGGTTTTTTTTAAGCACGCCAAGTTAAAAAAAAAATCAGGCATAAAACATTATTTCTCTCAAAGAAACATACAGAACATTTATCAATATAAACGTCAATAAAACAACGTTTTCTTATATTCATTTTGTGCTTTCCATTTTTGTAAGTTAATCGGGGGATTAAACTGAATGACAGATTCTATTTGTTTACATTTACAACTGTCCGTTTCTAAGAAAGGGCGACAACCAAGATAAGCGGCGATGTCTATACGCCGTATTGCCGGCATAATTAATCGCCGTTATGCGACTGAGGCCCTCGAATTAATAATTCCAATATAACAAGAGCGCATGACTCTGGCAAACAGGCCAAATCGTCATTTTTTGTTTGTTTACTGGGCCCTGTATGTATTGCGCATAGGTAAAACCGGGCTATAACAAGAGCGCGTGACTATGTTAACGCATGGTTTTGGCCCCGTTATAACATGGGCAAAAGAGGGAAAAATAGCCAATTTTATGCTATAATAGCTAACAGTGCAGACCATAATCAGACCACCATGATCAGACCGCACTGATGTATCAGCTGATCTTGGTCTGCACTGGTCACATGGGTAGATTCAGTTACCCGCAGCAAGGCAAAGGTGAAAGACAAGAAAAACTTCAATGTATAAATATATTATAAATGAACCTATTTTCCATGTAAAAGTTACATTATGTAAAGCATGAACAATGTTCACACATAATAAATACATTTTGAACTCTTCTGTAAATGGAAATTTACTTGAGTCAGAAGGATTTTCCACTCCTTTGAAAATGGGACCATTCTGCATAAACAAAGATATTTTCAAATATGTCGGCAAAGTGAGCTTTTTGGTGCAATATTTGTGTATGTGTTTGTATATGTGATTAAGATAAAATATTTCTGCAATATTGCCTAATACCAGTCTATGGATTTTATGACACAACTCTTCAAAGTTAAGTTCTACTTCCTAGGAAAGTTCTACGATTCCAGTATAAAAACAAATTCTTCTAAGAAACCAATTAGCAAACTTAATTCTTAACTAATGTAAAAGGGTTTTTTTCTTCAGTTGATATGTCTATGATATGTTTATAAGAAAGCGAGGGTATCCCAATACTGTCTTAAATTGTAATAATGTTACATTAAGCTTTACCCTGTAATGCAATATGCTATAAATGGGAACAATGGTTACCTGTAGCCACAACTTTTGCACCTGTATGTAAACTTTGTGTTTATAGAATAACTATGACACACGCTCACTGCAGGTAACTCTGGGTGAACTCTTGTTGCATGTCTTGCCCTGTTGAACAATAACATACAAATTGTGTTAATATGAATCATATAAAGTTGATAACATTTGCTTTTTTACTAAAGACTACACAAGTATTTACAGCTAAAGTATGTTTACTACATCAGTACTTCAAACAAAGATAATTTTATGCTCACTTTCAAGTATTTCCAACTTATGTTTGTTCACATTACCAATATTTCCAGCCAAAGTATGTTTACATTACTAGCATTTCTAGTAGTACTCTTTCCAAAAGAGTTATGTTCATATAACAGTATTTTCAGTATAACAATGCATACCTAACAAACTGTACAATTAAACTGTGGCCACATTTACAGTTTTCCACTCAATTCACACTGTCAATATTTCAATGCTTAAATATAGTTTAAAGTGGGGCGCGGGGAGGGGATTACAGGTATGACCTCCGTCTGTTAGTCAGTCTGTCCGTTTGTCGGTCTGTCTGTAACACTTACCTGTCCGCTCCATAACTTTTAAACTGCGGAAAATTTTTTGAAACAACTTGGCACAAAAGATCACCATTATGAGATGATGTGCAGAGTGCAATAATTGGGTTGCTACCTCAAAAGCCAAATGCAAATGTAAAGGTTAAGTGCCAAAAGTCTACATTCATGTCTGCTCCATAACTTTTAAACTGCTGAAAATGTTTTGAAATAACTTGGCACAAGTGATCACCTTTTTGAGACAATGTGCAGAGTACTACCATAAAGTCACTTATCTCAAGGTCAAGGTCACACTAAAGGTCCAATGTTAAAACATCTATTTTTCATACCCCCTCAATGAATTATTGACAATTTGTTGAGGAAGTGGATTTAGCTGTCCTTCAAACTGATTTTTTCTGTTCCGCATAATGGTTATTGTACACCCAATTCTCACCTTACAAATACACAATGTATTTGTTTTAATAAAAATGTCACATTAACCTTCAAAATGCATGGTATATGCTAATTATCTCTAGCAAAAATGCCTACCTTTTACCAATATTTCAATATTTAATGTTGTTCAACCCAAACAAATTACTGTCAACTCTTATAATATTCACCTACCAGTATTTCCAGTAAGAACCATGTCCACCATTAACTCCATTCAGTAACCAGACAGCTGCATGGCACATCTCATGTATCAATGTATCCCTTACTCTCTCTGAAATAATTCAAATGAAACAAAAGTAAAGTAAGATTACGTTTTAATTTTCATATCATACTTTATACATACTGTTTTACATGTACATGTACTGTAATGGCAACAACTTCAAATAGCTGTGCATTTTTAATGTCCTCTGTTAAAGAACATCAAACACAAGAACAGACTTGTGGGTGTTGAGTCTTGTGACCCAACGTGTCTTAACATCATTAGGGTCCAAAAAAGTTATCAGTAAAATGTCAAATAAAAAGCAAAGCACATGGTTCTTAATTTAGAATTTTTTATTCTTAATTATAGATGTACATGTATATTGGAATTAACAAAACAATATAAATTCTAAGCAGGCTTCTAATTATGTAAATGATATGATATGTGATGTGAATTCTGAATAAAATACAATCATGTAAAATTTATTGATACTGACAAGTCTGCATGGCCTGAAGCTTGCATTTTCCAATACCGTCCATGAACAGGCTCAATCAAAACAAACCTGCAAAATTTTTTAGTTTTGCCTTTTTGGACATTACTTAGGGATTCTGTTTTACTCTATTTTGATATTTTTAGGGGAGAAATTGTTTTAAAAAAAAAACATATCCATTAATATTTATATATGAGCATATTGTAATAATACAAGAAGACATTCATTACCATTGATTTGTAGTATTAACGGACCAAATAATCCAAGAAATATACACATATACAGTCTTGTTTTTGATATCAATTAAAATGTAACTGATATCATACAGTTCTAATAATATATGTAGGTAACAAAAATATTTTGCTAACAGCGAGTTCTTTTATTTATCATTTAATGTCCGTAATTGTATTGTGTTGTATATTGCAATGTATTGTTCAATATGTTGTAGTTATATTTTGCGTCAGGTCAACGGTTTTTTAGCCTAAACCGGACTGTGTTTGTTCATATGTGGCTTTTGAAATAAAGAATTCTTCTTCTTCTATCCTTAGAAATCATTTTGCAATTTGACTACGAGTTTTTGAGCATCAACCACGTATCAGCGACATTTTTTCATATTATAATAACTACTCCCAGAAAGTTGAGTCATCTCCATACCTGCATTATCACAAACTTTCACGGACAGTTCTATCCTAGTAGACCTATCTCTGTCATCTTTCCAGTTCTTCTTGTACGCGCAGTAACCAGCTGTACGCAGCAGACGCTTGTTCCAAATTACAGGCATATCCGATGGCAACTGAAATATTTCAAGCACTGTTTATGTTTTCCTTATTGTGTTTTAAAAAACATCAATATCATAAATCTATAAAAAGAACAGTTTTGCAAGGTGTGGTAATATTTAAGTTTTAACACATCTGAATATTTTGTTGGGGTTAGATGAAGATGTACCTTACTTTAAAGGCACATCAAGCCTGAGAAATGAACAAATTTTTCATTTTGCAAAAACAATACATGCCCCTGTAATATTTCCATCAAGAAGCATAAAAATAACATGAAATACCTTGTTCTCAAATATGTTCTGATTGTAAAGTTTATACAGGTAGGCTGACAGTTCCCCTTTGTTTTTCTTGAAATTATTTATAAACCTGAAATATATACAATATAATTATTTAAACACCTGAAAAAAACTGGTATAGAATATCAACATGATTTTAATATTATCTTGGTAACTAATCATTAAACTCTAATTTAATCTTTAAAATGGACTGTTCCAGTTTTTATTTTAGAAGTTCTAGTATGCAATAGTATATGTTACATTACTATGTTCCTTCTTTATTTATATAAAAGTCACATTAATAGTTCTCACAATGATGACAGTGGCCCAACAAAAATTATAGTGGCCATGTTAACAGGAACTTTTGTGGTCTTACTGGACCGCTAAAATTAAATGCTGTATGATGGAAAAAAAGTTTTACAAAGTGTGCCTTATACGGCAAGCTGACTGCCAAGTTTTCAGTACATTTTACTCGAAATGCATGTTGTTATTGAAACAACACTTGAAATAATTAGAGAAATCAATGCTTTGTTAAAAATTAATTTCACTAAATACATTGACTTAATTTACCACACTTATATTTCAATATCAAATGTCAGCAAATTATTTTACCAAATAATTCTGAAATACTTGCATTTCTTTTTCATTTCAAATTTAATGTGAGAAATGTAAAAATTTAACAAATAATGTTTATTCTCCATTAACTATATTTTTTTTTTCATACCGTTTAGCATCTGGATGTCGTCTGCTATCTTCAGTTGTGTTGGACAAAGATTTCAAGAAAGAATATGTACTCAGAGACTTGGCTGAAAGTGGAGTCGACCTTGGAGTTGTCAAATTTTTCAAAGAAAGTGGCGTTGCCTTAGAGATGGTCCCATTTTTCAAAGAAAGGGGTGTTGCTGGTGTCCCACTTGTCTTGCTGTTTGTTGAAGAATCTGATATCGAGACCAGAAAATCTGACGAATCATCACCATCGCTATCTGTGTCTGACAGTGAAATATACACTGGTTTTGATGTAGATTTTGGCGTCCTGGATTCTCTCCCTTTAGTAGATACTGGCGTTTTAAACACATTCTCCTTGTTTTCTTCAATTACACTTTTCTTCTTTCTCAATGGGTTTGGAGTTTTAAACAAAGGCTCCTCAGCATTCAAAGATCCAGAAAGTCCAGTTGAGGAATTTGATTTCCCAATTCCATCATATATCTTCTTTTTATCTTGGCTGACATTGTTTGAAGATTCAGTCGTTTTAAAATCACTGTTTCTATTCTCATTACTAACTCTTTTCAAGCTTTCAATATCAAACAATTCATTATCAGAGCCAGAATCTGAAGAGAATTCTACACAAATTGTGCTTTTCTTATCATTCTTTAAACTTTTGGTTGATTTCTGGTCTTTGGATTTATTGTCATCCTTTGACTTCAATGATTTGGCTTCCTTGTACTCTTCACTATCCGAAGAAAAGGACCATGATATATTAGTCTGCTTCCTTGCTTTTCCTAGCGTCTGTTTCTTATGCTTAGTCACACTTGGCGGATAAATTTCTGGAAATATAAACAAACAAAAAATATTGAAACACATCTGACTTAGTCTATGAGTAATTATATTTATTAAGTTTTGGTTTTATGGTGCACATTTTTCACTTAAGAAACTACAAATTTCAAAACAGCAACTTTTTTGTGTATGCTGAACCAACACAGTTGAGGTTATATGTCCAGCTTTACTGAAAGAGGAAGACTTTGGGGCCCCTATGGCATGGGCAATCATTTGTGTAGAACCACTGACGTGACATTAAAGCTAGCTTGGTACATGTAGATTTCTCACATAAAAGAATCCAAAATCCCTGGCAGGATTTGAATCTACAGCAGGATTTTAACATCATTAGTTCATTATAAATATACGTTTAGAGTTCTCAGGTGAGTGATTTAAAGCCAACAAGGCCAGTGTGTTTCTATTTCCTGTGAGCTACCTTAACTTTTTTGTTTTAATCTAGCAGTATAAGCATCTTCAGAAGGTTACTAATAGTCAATTAGTCGTGACTATGAGAGGTACATTTTACCTGTATAAATTTTACTATAATATTCTATGTGGGCCATATCTTCCAAAAGTAGGCCTTATTAAAACTGTTAAAATTTGGCTGTTTTTTTTTTCGTTTTATTTTGTTTTGTTTTTTGTTTTTAATAGGCAACATCTAAATTTATTAAATTTTGTCACAGACCAGGGACTTTCTGTTACATTTGTGAAAGCTACAAACATGCACCCGTTGATATGAAAAAAAGGCATGAAATTTTGCATTTAAGCATTATATAATTTATGCTTACTTTCAACTTGCTTAGTGGCTGAATACAGCTAGTTTAGATTGTATGGTTACAGCAGATTAATAATAATCTTCATATAATTATGTTCAGTTTTGGATCGGAATATCCATCCTGAAGGGACCCCTCCATATTCCTATCCAAACCGCAAACACATGTCAGATATTTTTTCTTGCATATTCTACCATATTCCATTATAATTAAATTCTTGACCTTAAAACAATTTTCCGTGGAAATTTATGTCATTACACCTGTAACTATTTTCTTACAACAGCGTATGAAATTACAACTTCATTCATAACAGTAAAAATACGTCATCCTAAGCATGCCATTGTATAGCGTGTGAATCATCTGACACCACCCATGCCAGATGAAGTTTCCGGCATGGCTAAAACCAGAGATGTAGATAACATTAATTTTGATCCTTTTACATTACACACCATTTGAAAGTTAAATCTTTAATCTGTTGCTGCATGTTTAAATATTGGTAACTTTCCTTGCCATTCACTTTGAAAAACATAGCAAAACAAACCCACTGAGCCAATTTTTTTTTTTGTAACAAAAATTAATAAGTTGTTCTCTTTAAAAATTGATGTATCATTTATTTAAATTTGAACTGTAAATGTTTTTACCTGCAGCCAAAGACAAATGCATAAGCTTTCAGAAAATGTAATATTTTATAATTATGATATCTTGTTACAAGTTTTTAAGTTTAGCAAGCAAGCATGATATCTGAACTGGCTAAGAAGTTGCCTATCTCTGTTATCTATGTCTCTTATAAAAACTTACAGAAACACAAGAAATTTTGGTCTGGTAGCATTAACTGTGACAGAGCAATACTGATATGCCAGGATGTTGAAGTATATTATTATTTCATTACATTGCCCTATCAAATAGAATTATGATAAAGACATGGCAGGGATTAATACAGTATTCAAGTTGTTACCTCCAGCAAGCAAGGTATCATCATAGTAAAGGTGGGCCTGGTAAAGTTGCAAGTTTGTCCATAAGCATGATAAAGATGCTAGCATACATTGCAGCAAGCAGGCATTGTTGTATACATCTTATTGATACCTTTATAACACCATTTCTCTGTTAAATCAATAAACTTCTAAGTTTTTTATCATTTCTAAGCAACCTTTCAACGTTTTCCTGCATATGTCTTTGATAGTTCTACAAACTACTTCTTTTCCAATAAATTGTAAGGCCCTAATAAATATAAGGCTTTCAAAATTTACCTTATATTGTGAGTTATACACACATATAAGAGGCGTTTACTGGATAGAAACTGGTAAATCACAGTACCTAGCCTTTCAAATATATTTAAGTCTTTTCAAAGCTATATTCACAGTTAGATAATTACTGAAAATTATATAGAAATTTTGTAATACTTTACAGCATCAATAAAGTGTTACAAATACATTTTAACTGAATTTAATATGTCATCATTATCACAAATAATGTCAAACTTTAACCTTTTATTACCTCCCTTTATAAATTATAACAAGTCCATCTGTTTTTCATTTTTATTACCTCCCTTTATGTAAATAATAATATCAATCTCTGTGGTGGGGTTTAAGACATTACATTGAAAGACATTTTATAGAAAGAAGGAACACATTATAAAATGGACAAATAAAAGAGTGCAACAGACGGTTGAAAAATATTTAAACCTACAACATTTCACCGAATAATGAAGTGCATTATGAGTGTGCAATAAATGCTCTTTTACACATAGCCTCAATTCTGGGTTTGATTCCCATGGTGGGAGATAGGGATGAAAAGTCGAGGTGGGATGAGATGAGACTTTAAATCGAGGTTGGTTGAGAACTTGAGATGAGACTTTAAATCGAGGTTGGATGAAATGAGACTTTAAATCGAGGCTGGATGAGATGAGACTTTAAATCGAGGCTGGATGAGATGAGACTTTAAATCAAAGTTGGATGAGATGAGACTTTAAATCCAGGTCTCGTGTAGGAGTGCTTAAACACTAAATAGCTTGGTAAATCGTGTATGAGTGCTTAAACACTTGGCACGATAGAGAACCATTATAGAGAACCATGCAAAGAAGCTTCTGGAATTTGGGCATCTTTCTGTATTTTTATCTTGCACTATCCTCCAAACTATAAAATGACTAATACTCTTCTGGAGGGACTGGCCCATATGGGCAACCAGTGGCGACAGTCTGACTGAAATTCCACATGGAGTGCAACAAACCATCGCCCAGTAAAAAGCCAAGATTTCTTAAGACTAAAATCAACCCATAAAACTCCTCACAGCGGTTACGTCACGCATTGCTACTTTAACCACTGCCACCACTGAAACCCAGATGACGATAGTTGTGTCATGTGACTAAAACATGGTGGCCAGTTTCAGAACGCCAAGGATCCCATATATACAACTGGCAGATTTACAATTACATCCTTACCAGATTTAATATGTTCAAAACACTCAATTTGTTTACACTTTAAAACAAGTGCCGGATCAAGATATTTTGCGCAATCGTTCAATAACTGTCTAACTTAAGCCATTGTTAAAATATCCTTTGTCATGTTTACAAAATAATTTTTACACATAAATTAAGCATAACAATTTAATGAAAGAAGACTAAAATGATTTAAAGTTTTCTATTTTAAAATTAAAAGTGAAAAAAATATATTCGGCTCTCTGATGACTGAATTTACTTGTGGTGGCAGTGGTTTCTGTACTGATCAGGGGAAGTAAATGCTGCAGGGAGTTTGATATATTAAATGTACAACCATGAAAAACAAGAACCGGTTGAACTGGGTGATGCTCCCCGAGAAGGTTTTGGACACAGGAAAGTATAAAAAATGAACAAAGGGCAAAAACTCCAAAATAAGGCAAGGCAGAGTTATGGATTTTTGCACTGCACTTCTATTCAATGAGATCTATTTATCTATAAAGTTTCTTGATGATATCTCTAATAGTTTCAGAGTGCCGGGTAAAATTCAAAGTGTAAAAATAAACAAAGGGCAATAACTCTAAAATAAGACAAGGCTTTTTTTAGGTTCTTAAGCATTACAATTCTATCAAATGAGATCTATCTACCTAAAAAGTTTCATGTTGATATCTCTAATACTTTAAGAGTTATGTCCCAGACAAAAGGCAAAAAGTAAAAATAAACAAAGGGCAATAACTTCAAGATAAGGCAAGGCAGAGTTATGGTTCTTTAGCACTGCACTTCTACCCAATGAGACATATCTACCTACAACGTTTCATGTTGATATCTCTTATTATTTTAGAGAAATGTCCCTGACAAATTTCAAAGTGTCAAAATGAACAAAAAACAATTATTCCAAAATTAAGCAAGATAGAGTTATGGTTCTTTAACAATGCACTTTTACTAAACGAGATCTATCTACCTACAAAATTTCATGTTGATATCTCTTATACATATACTCTTATAAGTTATGTCCCGGACAAATTTCAAAGTGTAAAAATAAACGAAGGGCAATACCTCAAAATTAGGCACGGCAGAGTTACAGTTCTTGTGCACAACAAACCTACTCAATGAGATCTATCTATCTACAAAGTTTCATGTTGATAACTTTTATACTTTTAGAGTTATGTCCCGGACAAAGTTCAAAGTGTAAAAAAAAACAAAGGGGAATAATTCAAGTATTAGGCAAGGCAGAGTTACAGTTCTTGTGCACTGCACACCTACTCAATGAGATCTTCCTACAAAGTTTCATGTTGATACCTCTTGTTGTTTCAAAGTTATGTCCGGGACAAGAAAAGCGGATGGACGGACATACTCACAAAATGGTACTTATGTGACTTCCTATCTTTTTGGCCATTTTTAGTCACACAAGGCTTTACAAGAGCACCGCTAGGCGGAGCATTATATGCCCGAAAGTGTTTTGTTTTTTTAGTAAGGATGAAGCATTTGTAAGACATGGGAATTAGCTGTTCATCCTATAAAATTTTACAGCTATAGGTTGATTAATACTTAAGTTATTAATAATGACCTTAACCTTTGACCTTGTGACCCCAAAATCAATAGGGGTTTTCTACCTTATATGGACAATCATCCTAAGAAGTTTGAATATTGTGGGCAAATTGGAACTTTAATTATGCTCTAGAAACTGTTTCTGTTTTAAGGTAATTGTGACCTTGACCTTTGACCTAGTGACCCCAAAATCAATAGGGGTCTTTTGCTCAATATGGACAATCATCCAATGAAGTTTAAATATTGTGGGCCAAATGGA